AGGTGCTACATAAATAAAGATGCTTGCTTTTGCCCTATCTCAAGTAAAATACACAATAGAGAGAAAAAAACAGGATGAAGGAAATTGACTTGTGAAAATGAATTGTGCAGATTATGAGCAATGTCGGGTATTGACTGGGCGGCTGTTTTGTGGGTTTATTTTCTTGAAGTCCAAGAAAAGTTTCAATTGGTGGATGACAAGATAGAGTCTCAAGTACAATACCATATTGTACAATATCACCCTTGTACATTATTCGACTCGGTTTATTATATCATTCACGTTAAAAACAATTATTTTATTAAATATACAACTTTAAAACTGACACTAAGATTTGTTGACTCTTCCTGTTAGAACCTTACCAGATGTAAAACAGTTATCTTCCTAACTACTGTGTGCAAACAAAAGTATTTTATATCAATGACATATTTTGTTGACTGTAAAGGACAATTTAATTGTTCTCTAAGAGAACAGATAGATGGATATGTTATTAACGAAAAACACGAAATTGTTCAATACGTTTTGAATGCAATTAGTTATTTTACGATTCTAATCAGATAAGTAGAATTTGCTCTGATAATTAAATGTTCCACACGATAGGAAGGTTGGGCAGATTATTTTCTTGCCAGAGCTCGGAAGATGCATTGGGTTATCGATCAGAAATCATCGGGTTGTCAATCAGAAGTCGTTGGGTTATCAATCAGAAATCATTGGGTTATCAATCAGAAGTCATTGGGTTATCAATCAGAAGTCATTGATTGTGGTTGAGTGAATTATCATCAATTCGACGTTCTCCATGACATTCAATTTTTTCCTAGACTTTGCAGGATCTAACATTATTGCCAAAACGTAACCTTCGAAGACACACCCGAATGTTTTGATCCAATATTTCTAAATAGCATCCATACAGTCTGACGTTTTGCATTTCGATTTAAACAAACCCCAACTCATTGAGCGCAACAAAAACAAGAACGAACAACAGAACAACAGAACAACTCTACAGTGTGTACATTATAAGAAAGCCTTCCATACCTGGTGGTATTGCAGAAGTTAGACATAACTGTCACCTCCACCTCGCAGGCAACTTTGCCCATATGTCCTCAAGCATAAGACACTGGTCATTCATTACTCCTGGCTTTACAGTAATATACAAAAAACGTCTCTTTTTTAAAAATCATTTACTGGCTATCGCTATCCATCATTTCAAATGTTTCGGTTCTGAGTTACTGCATTTATTACTGCTTTGCACCAGTATTGTCAATGCTCAAAAAGTACCATTGCTGGGAATAAACAACCTAAACCCTAGAGTGTGTTATTTGCTGGAAGCTGTGTGCAGTACAGGAATGGGTCTGTCCCTTTACAACAGCTTTGATTTCGCCCTCTCCTACCCTTAAACCATACGTGGTGCCAAGATGTTGATCGAAGCACAACAACCATTAGAAGAAGAAAAAAAAAACTGAGAGAGAGAAAACATCAACCAAGGACAAGCCAAAAGGAACCCCCTCAGTTGGCAGGGGTGCAATTTTGCTGCCCAGAGCACACTCAGAAACACATCTTGCGACTCTTGCTCATCCTCCACCTGCCCTTTCTCCATCACCAAGTTGACTCTTTGCTTCGTTTGAAAGGACGTGACTTGCAGTGAGTGCTGAGCAGAGGAGGTTAGTGGGTGCGGGGTAGGTGGTCAGTGGTTGCACCATCACACACACACACACACACCTCTCTCCACTCCCCAGGTACATGGGCATCGATGCAGTGCATTTTGCAGCGAGACTTGGCCACCAGTGTTGCTGTAAGGCGCACTCCCTCCCCTTCCCATGGATGTCCATTGACAGGTTTGAGTAGCGTGTGGCAGGATCCAGGTGAATGGCATTCATTCACGACGTCCCCAGAACTGCGTCAGCTCCAGATGAAGTCATTAATGACTCCCTCCCCCTCCATCCACACACACACACACACACTCCCTCCTCCCTCTGCTCACGCTTCTCTGGTCAGCAGCTGCCCTCACGTGGTGGTTGGAATGGGGGAGGCTCATAAGGAATGGCATCCAAGGCTATCAGGTTTGGATGACCAAATGCATTGCTGGGATTGCTTGAGAGGGAAAGTAAGACTGTTGCTAAACTTAGGTACATGCCTTTGCACGCAGTTCTATGTTAATGTTTTCTTTTCTGACTCTTGAGGGGGGTGGGGGGAAGTTCTACTTATCTCGAAAATCAAGTGTCCTGTGATCTTTTGGAAGAGCTGCTGTCAGGTGTTGGAAACGACCCATTGATTGAGTTTTTGGTGTCCAGGTTGCAAGGTTGTGTGCTTTCAGACAATCGCTGGGTATTTCATGTTTTCTCATGGAAAGGTCAAATTTAATTTTCTCAACATTTCTCTCTGTCATAACAATAATAATAATTTGGGCACTCAATCCATGACTGTTTGTGGGACGCTGCTGTGTGCAATTGGCTACTGCGTTTCTCCCACAAAATATACAGTCAATTCAGTTTACAGTATATTCTGTAAAGTGCTTTGAGTCGTCTCGCAGATGTGTTAAGGAGCTATATCAAATGCAAGGATTATTATTATACTGTGTAATAATTCTTAGAGGAATTCAATGGGTTCCCCACGGGAAAGATAGGCTTCTATACTTTGATGAGTTAAGCTGGTGTTTTTCGATATTGGCCTTTGCCGCTGTTATTTTTTCATTTAAAAAAATGTTGCAGGTTAGAATAGTTTATTTTAAAATAAACAGCAAGTAAATAACGATCACAATATATATGGAGCATTAGATGCAGTCGTTTCAGGAAAACAAATCTTAAATTTCAAATTGATGTGATCCAAATAGTTGAACAGGCTTAATATTAAATATTATGTACAATGTAATATAATACTGTAGACATCGTTATTGCACATTAATTGCAATGGAGGCATCTGCTCAGTTTAAACACAAGTAAGGCAATGTGTGACTGTGCTAGTGCAAAATTGATTTAACATTTTTTGTACACAGTTATGCATAATATGATACATTGTTCGACCTAGAAGTTAGTCAAGCATCCTTAACATTTATTTTTTACTGGTGACATTTTTAAAAAGTCCTCTGGTCAGTAGCAGAAAGCACAGTGGCCTTTCACCTCTGTAACCAGCATTCAAATCCTGCCTAGAATAATAGGACAGAAGAATAGTTTCTTTGGATGCTGTAACCTTCCTGTGTGAAATGAGTTTAGGCTGTCTCAATCCACTCCTAGTTCTCAGATGCAGGGCACAAAACTATCCACAATTCAGCAAAACATAGCACTCGTATGGCAATCTTACTTCAGATAGGCCATAAAGATGCCTGTTGTGGGAAAGTGGAAAAATCACACTGGTGCAGTACGGGAGATACTTATTTCAGGTTACATCTGCTTGTTGGGGCAGAATAGAGAGAGTATTCTTTGCAGGTGGTGATTTGATGACTGACCTCCAAGTGCTTGATACAAACACTTGGTGCCAAACGCATAAAACACATTCCATTCTTTAGCACTAACATATTTACATCAAAAGAGCAAAAATATCACCTAATATCCCATCCTAGAAAATTTTGAGAATAAATGATGTTATGAACACTGAACTTAAACAAAGAATTCCAGAATTGCAAGACTCAATGTGTTACAGTTAAGTAATCCAACACAAATCAAGAAAATAAGTATTTAAGCATCAATAAATTGAGCGGTATGTTGTAGAGTTCTTGATCCTCTCAGAACTTTTTTTGTCTTGTTTGGCTCAGAGTTTCGGACACATTCCCACTGACTTATGATTGGCCACTCACTCATTCAGATGCTTCCAGCAGTCTACCACATTCTTTTTATCCCGGGAAA